ATCAGTGTACCCTCACTCCCAGGCTGTGTGCTACTGAATGTGGGTTTGTGAGCTGAGGCAGCAGGGTGAGCCGAGGCAGCAGGGTGAGCCGAGGCAGCAGGGTAAGCCGAGGCAGCAGGGTAAGCCGAGGAAGCAGGGTAAGCCGAGGAAGCAGGGAGAGCCGAGGCAGCAGGGAGAGCCGAGGCAGCAGGGAGAGCCGAGGCAGCAGGGTGAGCTGAGGCAGCAGGGTGAGCTGAGGCAGCAGGGTGAGCTGAGGCAGCAGGGCAGTACAGAGGAAGCTGATGAAGCTTCGGTCACTTCGGTGCTTATGAACTCATGCTCAGACGTCCGGCAGCGCGGCGCGGTGAGGGCAGTGAGGGGTGCCCACACTCCCCTCACCTACACCAGTACCATCACTTCTGAACGAGAAAAATATTTACAGTAGTCTAAAGTTTTGAACTGTGGAAAATATCGTGGGTATATATAGTACTGAACTATAAACATTCATGGAAAATAAACCCACAGATGTTTTTAAGGACTGCTTTTTTATTTTCTCCAATAACTGCGTTAAATATATTAACAAAGACAAACACCGGTGATAAATTATAAAAATTTAACGTAAGTCGTAGCAACCAGAACCATAAAACTAGAAACATATGGAAAATACTGATTAAATATTAACATGCGCTGGGACGCCATAGCTTATATCGAAAGAAAACTATAATAGGTTGAAATACTCGAGAATAAGAAAATATTCTGGTTACAACTACTGAAATAACGTAGACATAATAACCAAAGTGGCAACTAACATAGTGAAAACTTCTGGGACTGACGCACGAACCTTGAGCTAAACTTTGTGGAGTTGTCACAATAAATATCTGTCTCGCAACTTTTTTCCATTTTGCTTCGATTACTAACATGTTTAATGTGTTCTTTAAACTACAGATAAACTAGATAATAACCTAACTAATGTTTACAAACTAGTTAATCTTTAGATTAATTAACTAGTTTGAAATAACAATCATATGTGACTTATTACAAACTAGTTATTCTAAAAATTATTATTATTATTATTATTATTATTATTATTATTATTATTAATATAACTGAATTTGAAAATGTATAAACAGTGACGGTCTTAACATGAAGACTGAGAGTTAACCACAGTAGGTCTACTGGCCCATGCTGGCAGGTCTTACTCACACTCAACTCTTCAGTAGGTCTACTGGCCCATGCTGGCAGGTCTTACTCACACTCAACTCTTCAGTAGGTCTACTGGCCCATGCTGGCAGGTCTTACTCACACTCAACTCTTCAGTAGGTTTGGTCCCTGCTGCAGGGCTTACTCACATCCTTCAGTAGGTCTCTGGCCCAGCTGAAGGTCTTACTCACACTCAAAAATTTTAGTAGGTCTATGGCCCAGCTGACAGGTCTTACTCACCTCAACTTTCAGAAGGTCTACTGGCCCCGCTGGAGGTCTTGGTCACACTCAACTCTTCAGTTGGTCTACTGTCCATGCTAGCAGGTCTTACTCACCTCAACTCTTCAGAAGGGTTTCTGGGCCCTGTTGGCAGGTTTACATCAATCTTCATTGGTCTACTGGGCCCCGCTGCAGGTTTACTCACACTCAACTCTTCAGAAGGTTACGGCCCCTGCTGCAGGTCTTACTCACATCAATCTTCAGAAGGCCAGGCCCCGTTGGCAGGGCTTACACTCAACTCTTCAGTTGGTCTACTGGGCCCCCCCTAGCAGGTCTTACTCACATACCTTCAGAAGGTTTTACTGGCCCATGTAGCATCTTACTCACCTCAACTCTTCAGAAGGGGCTTGGCCCCTGCTGCGGTCTTTCTCACACTCAACTTTCAGTTGGTTACTGGCCCATGCTAGCAGGTTTACTCACACTCAAATCTTTTAGAAGGTCTACTGGCCCATGCTGCAGGTTTATCACACTCAAAACTTCAGAAAGGGCTACTGGCCCCTGCAGCAGGTCTTACACTTAACTCTTCAGTAAGTCTACTGACCCGCGCAGGTCTTACTCACACTCAACTCTTCATAGGTCTACTGGGCCCATGCTTTGGGAGGTCTTACTCACACTCAACTCTTCAGTAAGCTACTGGCCCAGCTGGAGGTCCATACTAATTTTTCGTAGGTCTACTGGTCCATGTTTTGGGAGGTCTTACCTCAACTCTTCAGTAGGTTATGGCCTGCTAGAGGTCTCACCACATCAATCTTCATAGGTCTACTGGCCCATGTTGGGGGTCTTACACTCAACCTTCGAGGGTTATGGCCCATGTTGGGAGGTCTTATCACCTCAACCTTCATAGGGGCTCTGGCCCTTTGGGGTCTTACTTTCACTCAACTCTTCAGTAGGTTACTGGCCCATGTTGGAGGTCTTACTTACACTCAACTTTCATAGGTCTACTGGGGCCCTGTTGGCAGGTCTTACACTCAATACTGACCCAAAGGAAAAATAAAAGTCAGCAATATAAAGTTCCAGCCTCGACGTGAGTCTGTATTACCAAGGGGCTACAACATAAACCATGATCTCCTTAAAGGGAAATATATAAGATAATTTTAAAAAGGTCTCAAAAGTTCTTAGCACAATACATTGTTGGGTGTGGTACAACCTCCAGCATGGGCCAGTATTGTGACAAACTGTAAAAAAAAACCCGACACATGATAAAAACAAATACATGATTCAAACCCTTTATTTACTTCAGCCCGGCACAGTGATTTTATCATGTCACAGATAGATCTACCTGGGAAAAAGGTTTTGTGTGACAGTGGCGTATAATGGCTGATACCTGTGACGTAGTGATGTGCTGATACATGTGAGGGGTAGAATGTGTGATACACTGTGAGCGTAGTGAGTGGGAAACACAGTGAGCGTAGTAATGTGCTGATCACTGTGGGGGTAGTGATGTGCTGATACACAGGAGCGTAGTAATGTGTTACACTGTGAGCGTAGTGAGTGTGTACACGTGGGTAGTGAGTGCTGATGCACATGAGCGTATAATGTGGGTGAACACTGGAGCGTAGTGATGTGCTGAGCACGGAGCGTAGTAATGTGCTGATACCTGTGAGGGGTAGTGATGGCGATCACAGTGAGCGGTAAAAGTGCTATACACTGTAGCGTAGTGAGGTTTTATACACTGTGGCGTAGTGTGTGTGTGCACAGTGAGCGTGTATGTGCTGATACACTGTGACTAGTAATGTGCTGTACACTGTGGCTTTGTGATGTGGATACACAGTGGGCGTAGTGATGTGCTGAGCACAGTGAGGTAGTAATGTGCTGATACACGTGAGCGTAGGATGTGCGTAAATTGAGCGAGTGATGTGTTACACTGTGAGCGTAGTGTGGCTGATACACAGTGACGTAGTGATGTGCTGATACACTGTGAGCGTAGTGATGTGCTGATGCACAGTGAGCGTTGTAATGTGCTGATACACTGTGAGCGTAGTGATGTGCTGATACACTGTGAGCGTATGATGTGCTGATACACTGTGAGCGTAGTGAGTGTGATGACAGTGAGCGTAGTGATGGTGAACATGTGAGCGTTTTGTGGTTTTGATACACAGTGAGCGAGTGTGTGCTGATAACGTGAGCGTAGGAGTGCTGATACATGTGGCGTAGTGATGTGCTGATCACTGGAGCGTAGTGATGTGTGAACACTGTGAGGTAGTGTGTGTGATACACAGGAGCGTAGTGATGTGCTGTGCACGTGAGCGTTAATGTGCGATACACGTGACGTAGTGATGTGCATACACTGTGAGGTAGTGTGTGCTGAACCTGTGAGCGTAGTGAGTGCGATGCACAGTGAGCGTAGTGATGTGTGAAACACTGTGAGCGTGTGATGTGCTGATACACGTGAGCGTAGTGTGTGCTGATCACGTGAGCGTAGTGTGTGCTGATACACTGTGGGAGTGTGTGCTGATCAGAGTGAGCGTAGTGATGTGCTGATGCCCCGTGACGTATGATGTGCTGAACACTGTGAGGTATGATGTGTGGCACAGTGAGCGTGTGATGTGCTGATACACTGTGAGCGAGTGATTGCGAAACTGGAGGTTGTGATGGCGATACACAGTGAGCGTAGTGGTCTGATACACAGTGAGTGTAGGTAGTGTGATACACTGGGAGCGTAGTGATGTGCTGATACACAGGGGCGAGGATGTGCTGATACCTGTGACGTAGGATTGCTGATGCACAGTGAGGGTGATGAGCTGTACACTGTGAGCGTAGTGATGTGCTGATACACGTGGGTTGATTCTGTGCACAGTGAGCGTAGTGATGTGCGATACACTGTGACGTAGTGATGTGCTGATACATGTGAGCGTAGTGATTGTGAACACAGTGGGTAGTATGTGCTGAACACAGTGAGTGTTGTATTGGCTGATACACGTGGGGCGTAGTGATGTTTCTGATACACAGTGAGGAGTGATGTGCGATAACGTGAGCGTATTATGGCTATCCCGTGGCGTAGTGATGGTGATAACAGGGGCGTGTGATGTGCTGATTTCAGTGAGCGTAGTGATGTGCGATACACTGTGAATAGTGTGTGCTATACCGTGAGCGTAGGGGTGCTATAACTGTGAGGAGTGATGTGGATACACTGTGGCGTAGTGATGTGCTGATACACATAGCGTAGTATGTCTATACACATGGCGTGTGATGTGCTGATACACTGTGAGCAAGGATGGCTGTTTCACGTGAGGGTGATGTGCTGATACACAGTGGCGTAGGATGTGCTGTACACAGTGAGCGTGTGATGTGCTGATACACGTGAGCGTAGTGATGTGTGAACATGTGAGCGTAGTGATTGCTGATACCCTGTGAGCGTAGTGATGTGCTGATACCAGTGACGTGGGATGTGCTGATACACTGTGGGTATGATGTGTGATTTCATGTGAGCGTAGTGATGTGCGATACACAGTGAGGTAGTGATGTGCTGATAACAGTGAGCGTAGTGATGGCTGTACACAGTAGGTAGTGTGTGCTGATACACTGTGGCGTAGTGATGTGCGATACACTGTGAGCGTAGGATGGCTGATACACAGTGAGCGTAGTGATGTGTGATACACAGTGAGGTGTGTGTGCTGATACACAGTGAGCGTGTGAGGCTGATGCACATGAGCGTAGTGTGGTGATACATTAGCGTAGTGATGTGCGATACACTGTGAGCGTAGTGATGTGCTGATACACGTGAGCTTAGTTTTATGTCTGATCACGTGAGCGTAGTGATGTTGATACACTGTGGGTAGTATGTGCTGATACACTGTGAGCGCGTGATGTGCTGATACACGTGGCGATGATTGCTGATAACCGTGAGCGTAGTGATGT